CTCCTCACTTGGTGGGTGATATGGTCAGCATCACGCCGGCCTCCTTTTCTTTCCAGCTTTAAGTGAATAGTCCTTGCAAAATTGTAACATATCGAAAAGTAGGGATTTTATGTAAATAAAAAAGTAAAGGTAAAGTCGGGAGATGTGAACCAGCGTCATTGCACAGGGTTATAACCATAAGTGCTCTGTCACCAGTATGGACAGCTGATAAGAAACTGTCCGCCTGTGTCGCCGTCCGGACGTAACTCCGTAGCTACAGTGACGTTCTTCCATTTACCCCAAAGAGTTAGCTCTATTACCCATTACCTAGAGGCTGGGTGAACCCTGGGAACCGTCCGGTTTCGAACACCGGCCTTGGGCTGCAGCGAGTGGCAGCTGGATTTGAAAGCGAGTCTTCTATCGATATGAATGGCTCTCAGTAAGATTAAAGGGCTGAGGCGGTGGGGGGGGGGGGGGGGGTGTTCGTTCTTACATTTCTGAGAACCTCCCTAAACTGTCCATCATTTAAATTGTCTACCCAAACAAACGTTCCTGACATTTTGCCATAGTTAGATTATCAACAGCCTCTTGAATAAGTATGGGATACCTTCAGCCTGCAGAATTTGTCATGGCTTGAAATGCCTTGCATTGTAACTTTTTATTTACCTCATTGTATAGCCTTGCACTTTCAGTTATAACTCACGGAAACCTACTAGCACTTTCCTCTTTGAATTATAACCTACAAAAATCTTCTGATGCGTTACTATTTGAATTATAACTAACAAAACGTGCTGGCACGTTATTCTTCGATTTATAACTTACGAAATCGACTGACGCGTTACTGGTTGAATTTTAATTACACAAACCTGCTGTCACGTTATTCTTTGATTTATAACTTACGAAATCTACTCGCACGTTGGTCTTTGAATTATAACTTACAAAAACTTACTGGCACGTTACTCTTTAATTATAACTTACAAAAGCCTACTGGCACGTTATTCTTTGATTATAAGTTACAAAAGCTTACTGGCACGTTATTCTTTGATTCTAACTTTTAAAAACCTACTGGCACGTTATTCTTTGATTCTAACTTTTAAAAACCTACTGGCACGTTATTCTTTGATTCTAACTTTTAAAAACCTACTGGCACGTTATTCTTTGATTCTAACTTTTAAAAACCTACTGGCACGTCACGTTATTCTTTGATTCTAACTTTTAAAAACCTACTGGCACGTTATTCTTTGATTCTAACTTTTAAAAACCTACTGGCACGTTATTCTTCGATTCTAACTTTTAAAAACCTACTGGCACGTCACGTTATTCTTTGATTCTAACTTTTAAAAACCTACTGGCACGTTATTCTTCGATTCTAACTTTTAAAAACCTACTGGCACGTCACGTTATTCTTTGATTCTAACTTTTAAAAACCTACTGGCACGTTATTCTTTGATTCTAACTTTTAAAAACCTACTGGCACGTTATTCTTTGATTCTAACTTTTAAAAACCTACTGGCACGTTATTCTTTGATTCTAACTTTTAAAAACCTACTGGCACGTCACGTTATTCTTTGATTCTAACTTTTAAAAACCTACTGGCACGTTATTCTTTGATTCTAACTTTTAAAAACCTACTGGCACGTTATTCTTTGAATGACAACTTTTAAAAACCTACTGGCACGGCAGTCTTTGAGTGACAACTTACAAAAGCCTACTTGCACATTATTCTTTGATTAATACTCACAAAAAACCTACTGGCATTATTCTTTATGCAAATAATCCTACGCTTGACGGCAGATTTGTAGCCGTGTCCGTTTTCTGCAAAAGGGAAGCAAACTGTGCTTGATTTGAGCTGCAGTTCTTTTGATTTATCAGTAATTGTTTCCCTTTCATCCTTCTAGCTATTTAAAAGTTGTGCATGTGGTTGGGGAGGGGGTGTGGTATATGTAGCTATGATGGCGCATGTGAAAGCTATAGATTTAGCTTTTACAATACAGGGGGTACATATATTTAGCTTTTAAAACACACTCGTCTTGGGAGAACGCTTAGCTGGTCGTAAAACCATAACTGTTAAGAATTACGATCATGGAACCCGGGATAAACCTTATGGCCACGTCCTGGAAGCTACATATATCCCAGGAAGGTCACAGAAGCATGGGTAAGAAGTAGTTGAAGCAAATATCTAAGGTCCAGTCATTTGTCGAGGTCTTTAATCTCAATCATCTCATGCCGAGGCAACTGAGATGTGGTTCTTGAGAAGACTATTGAGAATACTTTAGACTGCCCGAATAACCAACATTGTACGACTGGAAATTTCTAATGAATGTAGAACAGTATCAACAACAATGAAAAGGAGACCAGCAAAGATGTGAGGGGAAAAGGAGCACTGGGAAATATCGTGACGACTGGAAAGGTCACTGGTAGAAGAGGCAGACAAAGAGAAATGATGGTGGATAGCTTAAGACGGTGGCATGCAGGAATATTATCGGTGGAATTGATCCAGAATACCAAAGACCGAGATCTGTGGCGACGCAAGAACGCCTACGCCAGCTGGCGAGGCACTTGATGATGATGACATCTACCAGATACTCTGTAGACATCAACTGTGAGAAAACTGCTGTGAACAATGAAATCTTCAGGGATCCGACCCCCAAGAGTAAAGCCAGGAGAGAATAAAAAGCTAACTTTGAGGAGAGGAACACAATAGGACAAAAGAAATGGGTTTGCTTTTCTTCAGAAGCTGAGATTTATAAGCAGTTTGTCGAATAAATACCATTAACCATTTTTTTTTTAACTGAGCAAACTGATTAACAGTAAAGTGAGATGAATTGGAGAAAGGCGAAGAAATTAGAGAAATATGATACAGACCAGAGTGTGACAGCATAAACAAACTCAACAGGAAAGAACAAACATCAATTCTTAGACTTCGGACTGGACACTGTGGTCTTCGAGCACACTTGTACAGGATAGGCATAAAAGAATCTGCTGCCTGTGATTGTGGAGCAGAAAGACAGACCCCTCAGCACATACTGCAGTACTGCCCTTACCTCTCCCAGCAAAGACTGTGGATCTGGCCCAAGGGAGCCACATTGCAAGAGAACCTATGGGGGACCAGTGGCGACCTTAAACGCACAATCCTATTTGTGACCCAGACGGGACTCAATGTTTAGCATGACTGATATCGAACGCAGAAAAAGAAGAAGAAGAAGAGAAATATGTGGGCAACCACTTGTATTAATGTCGTGGGTTCGCGTTCTGATGGAACCGGACTTTTTTTTTTTTTTCAAATAACCTTGACTCCCAGGTCGACCCAGCTTTGAGTGGGTACCAGGTGCAGTCCTGGGAAGTAAAGGCGATCGGCGTAATGCTGACCACATCACCTACAAAGTGCCGATTTGACTATACAAATATAGGTCCAGCCTTATATGCCCTGGTTCTCATGCGGAAGATCCAGGTTCGAATCTTCAGTACATTTCTTTAGTTTTTCGGTGGAGTGGAAAAAATAAAATCCTAACCTGCACAGTTTGTGGCTGCAGCAATACCTATGAGGCCCTTATCTATACTGAAAAACAGATAAATACTGGCAGCAACTGGCAGTTTGAGCAGTGTTGTGCTGTGCCAAATGGAGAAGAAGGAAACGTCCTCTCTATAGAACAAAGGCCGGCCACTATTGTAGATAGTAACACCGATAGTTTTGGGAACGGATACAATGTACCTAGGCTGCGTTTTACTAGACACTTTAGTTGCAATCTGTGACAGTGAATTGCCTGAGTCTAGCAATAAATAGCTTGTTGGGTTAGTTACGTATCCTTTACAGGACGTTGCAGAACCAATCCCAGAATATATTTTTTTTGTCCTGTTGTGAATTTTTTAGGCAAAGTTTACGCTCAGTAGTTTGCCATTGCTTCCTGGAAAGTCAGCTCTAGGTACCTCTGTTGAAACCAATGCAAGACAAAACGTCCGCATTTGCTATCGAACCTGGCACCCAGGCACTACGATGCGCGTTTGCAAAGCCTTGTCACAGACGCCGACAAACAACTCGTACTCTTGCAAAAAGTCTGTAACATAAAGTTGGACTAATGGACTCGGTTGATTTTCTAAATATTTTTTAAAAAGACATCAGAGTGGCTGACTCTGCACTACTTGGTGGAATGTTGATGAATGACAAGGCAGACATGATTAAGGCCTTATGGGTGTAGTTCGGAGAAGCAAATGGATCATCACAGTCTGCTGAGAGTCATGCAGCAAGGATTGGCGAAACGATTTGGCCGATAATGGAGGATCAGAAAGTAAAGCAAAACAGACATATAATTAGATTGCTACTGGCACCTTTGGTATAATAACTCTGCGCTGGCTGCTGAAGATGGGAACGGAGCACTTATGGGAATGGCCAGAGTTCTGTGATGTCGATTCTTGAATCAACTCTCCCGTGTAGGTTCCGGGGCCCCATTGTTGGGGGGGGGGGGAGGGGAAGAATAGACCCCCTGCCTTCCCCAAAAGCATGTCGTAAGAGTAAACTAATTAGAGGTTTCCTTTGAAGTCAGCCCGAGAGGCAGGTAATCAACCGTCTGCATGCAAATATGTGAGATCTGTAAAACGGATGTACACGCAACTCTCAGGTTCTGATACAATTCTTGAGTCCAGAGGTGGACGAACAACCAGAACTTTCCACCGGAGTTTACAGCCGGTGAATGCGAAGAAGAAGAAGAAGAAGAAGAAGAAGAAGAAGAAGAAGAAGAAGAAGAAGAAGAAGAAGAAGAAGAAGAAGAAGAAGAAGAAGAAGAAGAAGAAGAAGAAGAAGAAGAAGAAGAAGAAGAAGAAGAAGAAAAAGAAGAAGAAGAAGAAGAAGAAGAAGAAGAAGAAGATGAAGATGAAGAAGAATCATCAACTCAACTCATATTTATGAAAAGTAAGACGTTTGCTATCTCTAGTTTACGTCGCATGTTTTCACCTTTAGGCCTCTAGTTCAAATGACTTTACCTTATTAAATATCTCTAATCTTATAAATACAAATTTAATTTCAGGAGGTGACCTGTCCCCCAGCTACAACATCTCCACCACCCTTTAGGTCGACCCCAACCCCACCCTTGACCCCACCCCTCCGACCAGCACCCTGCTCGCCAAAAAGATTCGACATTGAATCCAAGGTGAGAGATTGAATATTGTAATCAATTTTGTTTGCTCAGTAATAATTCATAATTTAGTGAGATTTAAATTTAAAAGAAAATTAGTAACCACGGAAATGAGATGTCTGAGAAGGGCTGTAGGAGTGACCATAAGAGATAAGATCAGGAATGAGATCATAAGAGAACAAGTCGGCACAGAACCAATTCTGGATTACATACAAAGACAGCAAGTGAAATGGTTTTCCCACTTAGAGATAATGCCTTGTGACACCATACCATACAAAGCATACATGGAAATAGAAGAAGGACGTAGAGCACGGAGTAGACCAAGAACAAGATGGAATGATAACATCAGAGAAACTCTACAACAGCACGATGTGCCTATGGTCGAGGCAGCCAGAAGAGCTAGAAACAGAACCTTATATCTCCCTCGACACCCACAGCGGTAAAAGAGGAAGTGAAGAAGAAGAAGTGAGAATGATTCAAACGATGCCAGCAACAAGATCGTACGACATGAGAGTGGAATTACCAAGGGGTAGAGGACGATCGCGAAGAACATTGATTTAAGAAGTCTCTTATATATTTAGTAGATTCTCGCCCTGGCGGAGCCCGGCTTCTTTCAAAATGACCTTGACTCCCAGGTCGACCCAGCGTTGAGTGGGTACCAGGTACAGTTCTGGGAAGTACCGCCTGGTCTACAAAAGTATAGGTATACTCCTTATATTCACAGTACGCCTGAAGGAGTGGAAAGGGGACCTTTCCTTACATACCTGCTTATACCTTGAGACTTTATAACATCACCGCGTATCGGGCAACCGAGCGTGTCCCAAGCTCGGTTACCGACCTTCTGTTAACTTACGACCCTAGCGGTACATAGCTGAATACGAATAAACGACAAAAACAAAACGAATTAACATTCGTATTATTTCGTATCTCTTCTAACGTTTCTTCGCTTGTACATTTCTACAGATAAATTAAAAATGTAATCCTGATATGATCTTTCCAGTCCTTAGAAAGACTGTTTTCGAGCTGATCGTCATGTCTGTGCCACCAGTCTGGCTCCTGGTCTTTTCCTGTGCCCTGTGAGGTTTTTCCAGTACTGGTGGTGCCCTCGTCCTGTGCCCTGTGAGGTTTTTCCAGTACTGGTGGTGCCCTCGTCCTGTGCCCTGTGAGGTTTTTCTAGTACTGTTAGTGCCCTCGTCCTGCGCCCTATGAGGTTTTTCTAGTACTGGTGGTGCCCTCGTCCTGTGCCCTGTGAGGTTTTTCTAGTACTGGTGGTGCCCTCGTCCTGTGCCCTGTGAAGTTTTTCTAGTACTGGTAGTGCCCTCGTCCTGTGCCCTGTGAGGTTTTTCTAGTACTGGTGGTGCCCTCGTCCTGTGCTCTGTGAGGTTTTTCTAGTACTGGTGGTGCCCTCGTCCTGTGCCCTATGAGGTTTTTCTAATACTGGTGGTGCCCTCGTCCTATGCCCTATGAGGTTTTTTTAGTACTGGTGGTGCCCTCGTCCTGTGCCCTGTGAGGTTTTTCTAGTACTGTTAGTGCCCTCGTCCTGCGCCCCATGAGGTTTTTCTATTACTGTTAGTGCCCTCGTCCTGCGCCCTATGAGGTTTTTCTAGTACTGGTGGTGCCCCCGCCCTGTGCCCTATGAGGTTTTTCTAGGACTGGTGGTGCCCTCGTCCTGTGCCCTGTGAGGTTTTTCCAGTACTGGTGGTGCCCTCGTCCTGTTCCTTGTGATGTTTTTCTAGTACTGGTGGTGACTTCGTCCTGTGCCCTCTGAGGTTTTTCTAGTACTGGTGCTGCCCTCGTCCTGTGCCCTATAAGGTTTTTCTAGTACTGGTGGTGCCCTCGTCCTGTGCCCTGTGAGGTTTTTCTAGTACTGGTGGTGCCCTCGTCCTGCTCCCTATGAGGTTTTTCTAGTACTGGTGGTGCCCTCGTCCTGTGCCCTGTGAGGTTTTTCTAGTACTGGTGGTGCCCTCGCCCTGTGCCCTGTGATGTTTTTCTAGTACTGTTAGTGCCCTCGTCCTGTGCCCTGTGAGGTTTTTCTAGTACTGTTAGCGCCCTCGTCCTGTGCCCTGTGATGTTTTTCTAGTACTGTTAGCGCCCTCGTCCTGTGCCCTGTGAGGTTTTTCTAGTACTGTTAGTGCCCTCGTCCTGTGCCCTGTGAGGTTTTTCTAGTACTGGTGTTGCCCTCGTCCTGTGCCCTCGTCCTGTGCCCTGTGAGGTTTTTCTAGTACTGTTGGTGCCCTCGTCCTGTGCCCTGTGAGGTTTTTCTAGTACTGTTGGTGCCCTCGTCCTGTGCCCTGTGAGGTTTTTCTAGTATTGTTGGTACCCTCGTCCTGTGCCCTGTGACGTTTTTCCAGTAGTGGTGGTGCCTTCTGAGGTTTTTCTAGTACTGGTGGTGCCCTCTGAGGGTTTTCCAGTACTGGTGGTGCCCTCGTCCTGTGCCCTCTGAAGTTTTTCTAGTACTAGTGGTTCCTTTGTCCTGTGCCCTGTGAGGCTTTTCTAGTACTTTAACTCATTATTCCCAAGAGTATGTTGTTTAGTCTGTCATCTTGTACACAAGGTGTAGAGATAAATGACTGTCTAGTTGTCTTTGCTTGTTTGTTACAATTTGCTGTAGAGACGGGTTTACGGCTGGTTGGGTAAGTGGGTGGATGGATGGGTGGTCAGTGGATGACTGGAATGTTGGATGGATTTAGGGATTTAGGGATGGGTGCGTGAATAGGTAAATGAATGGATGGATGGGAGGGTGGGTAGATGGATGGATGGATTCGAAGTGTGTATGGATGTCAACTGCCTGGGCGGATTAATACATGGTAGGTGAGTAGATGAATATGTGGATGGATGGGAGGGTAGATGGATGGATGGATGGATGGATGGATGGATGGATGGATGGATGGATGGATGGATGGATGGATGGATGGATGGATGGATCGATGGATGGATGGATGGATGGATGGATGGATGGATGGATGGATGGATGGATGGATGGATGGATTTATGGATGGATGGATGGATGGATGGATTTGAAGTGTGTATGAATGTCAACTGGGTGGATGGATTTATACATGGTAGGTGAGTAGATGAATATGTGGATGGATGGGAGGGTAGATAGATGGATGGATGGATGGATGGATGGATGGATGGATGGATGGATGGATGGATGGATGGATGGATGGATGGATGGATGGATGGATGGATGGATGGATGGATGGATGGATGGATGGATGGATGGATGGATGGATGGATTCGATGTGTGTATGAATGTCAACTGGATGGTTGGATTTATACATGGTAGGTGAGTAGATGAATATGTGGATGGATGATTGGGTTGATTCGTTGATAGATAGACTGATGGATTTGAAGGTTGTCCGGGTGTATGTTGGTTCATTGATTTATTTCTTGATTGATTGGTTGACTGGTTTATTGATTGGTTGATTGATTTATATGTTGATTGATTAGTTCATTTATTTTTTGATCGATTAGTTGGTTAATTGATTGGTTAAGTTATCGATTTATTTATTTATTGGTTGATTGATTGATTGAATGATTGATTGATTGGTTGCTTGATTAGTTGATTGATTGATCTATCAATTGATTGATTGATTGATTGATTGATTGATTGATTGATTGATTGATTGATTGATTGATTGATTGATTGATTGATTGATTGATTGATTGATTGATTGATTGATTGATTGATTGATTGATTGATTGATTGATTCTAATAGTTGACTAATCATTGTTTTACTATTAAAATCAACTATTCTGCTAAAAGTAACAGGAAAATAATATAGTAGCACACAACAGTTCAAAAACCTCACAAATGCATTGATACAGTTGACTTTCTCCCCCCTGTGGCAACCACAGCTGCGTGGAAGGTCGGGCATCATGCATAGACAGGCGAGCAGCACTTCTTCCTCCGAATATTTGACCTCAAGTGACCTTAAGACTCCGCCTGGTTCCCCCCGAGCCTACTACTCGGGTCACTCCGGCTTGACGTCGCCAGAGTTGAACAGGGTATCGGCTAGCCTAGAGAGGACTGTCCACATACACAAGAACAACGTGCATTTGGGTGAGTTGTTTATTAATGGTGTTGCTAATGGCTATAGTCAGTTCTAAAAGTTGTGCCCTCAAACTAAAAAAAATATCTCAAGAACAGATCAATACGAATTGTATTGCGTATGGTTGTATGATTTTATAACTTACAGTAATATAAGTGTTACTGTTTTCTTTTCTAATGGCGGCTAATTTCTTTGATCTTTGTTGGATTAATAATCTGTGTCCCCAGAAGAAAAAGAAAATATATAGTAATGACACACGCATGAAGATTTTTGTTTGGATGGTAATTGTTTTGATAACCTATCCAGCATACAATAGGAAAACCTGGATCATCTAGCAACTCATTGGAGGCTTATGCTGGAAATGACCACCTGAGAGTGAAACGCGTGCGGTGTGATGTTTTGAAGAGGTCCCGTTACTTAGTTACCTGTAAAAATGCTGACTTCTTTCAATCACTATCTGTTTTTTCATATGCCACAAATAAGGCAAAATGAAAACTGGGTGTGTATTTATATATTTATAAATGATTAATAAATTTCACAAGGACATGATTATCAAGAGGTTGCATGCCAAGTTTTAAACATTCACACCCAACAGTTACTAAGTTACAGATTTTTTTTAATTTGTACAAAACTTCTGGAATGGACTAAAGCTGTTGTGATTGGCGTTTTTGTTGTATTTGAAGTCTTTGTTGTTGTTGTTGTTGTTGTTCTTAGACTAGTTAGATGTGGTACAAATACAAGCAGATAACGTATAAAACAGAAATTCGGTTAAAAACAAAGAAAAAGAAAGAACAAAAATATGTTTAGAGGACACGACAGTGCGGTACAGGATCTGTAAAAGAAGGAAGCATTGTAAGGCTGTAATCTACTGTAAGCTACCAGACATGTCGTAAGAAGCAATATTAAGGCATGGTGTAAAACTGGCTTTTTCATTCCGTAGAAAACAAGAGGGAGGAGGAAGACAGGGGGGGGGGGTGGGGGGGAGAATAAAAAGACGTAGAAGCGAAGTAGCATGAGAAGAAGGAGAAGAAGGAAACAAAAAGGCGGAGCTAGGGGGGGGGGTGGGATGGAAGGGGGTAGCTTGAAAGAGAACAAATGAGAGAACAAGACAACGATGTTTTAACATAGGTGCTAAACTCTATGAATTCCCAGGTTTAACCGTTGAAACAGTGGACAAAGGAATCAACGGGTGCGTGGTCAAGAGTATAGCCAAGCCGAGTGCAGTGGAGCAGGATGGAAGCATCCAGGTGGGCGATTACATTGTCTCAATCAACAACGAAAGTCTCCGGCGGGTGACCAACGCCCAGGCTCGGGCCATCTTTAGAAGGTCCTCGCTCCTGGGGTCAGATGTCACGTGAGTAGATTTGAGTTTGTTTTTGTTTGTTTGTTTGTTTGTTTGTTTGTTTGTTTGCTCAACGCATCAACATCATGGCACACGGGTGTAACCCATCAGAGCTGCCTTCTACTTCTAACTCAAGTCTTAATAATTTAAGCGCAGTGCACAAGCTCCGTTGCACCGGCGAGGATCATGAAATACTTTGGGTAGATTTTTAACTCAAAATTTTGCCTGGGCAGCGCCGTAAGGCTACTCTTTTTCGATTTCCAACTGCCAAGGGATCTTTAACGTGCGCAACAATACACACAGGCGTCCGGTCGGTTCTTAATTTATAACGTACCCCAAACACGAAATCCCCGTGGGAAATCCACAGCTGACCTGACAGTCCATTATTTAAAGGGGTGGAAGTGTGCTGTTGTGTGTGTGTGTTGTTGTTGTTGTTGTTTTTTTTTTTTTTTTTTTTTTTTTTTTTGAGTATTCATCTAGTGTCTTCTAATTCTAACCCTAACCCTAACCCTTAATTTGGCTGTAGATAAATCGCGAGAAACTACAACCTGAACACCCTAGAATTTATTGGGAATGTCTTCCGTGACGTTGTCGTGACGTCAGGGGTAAGTTATAAATTAAGTACCGTCTGGTCTCACTACATAGAGACCAGAGGAAATTATTAGAAGTCCACGTGAAAAAATTCTAGCCTTCACCAAGGTTTGAACCCGCTACGGTTAGCTAAACTTCTTATGTGAAGCATCGGCGACCAGCTCGCCCGCTGACTGATCTGTAGATGACGTCATCCGTTGCCAGTAGGGACAGTATATTTTAGTGGCCTGTCTCTTTTGATCGCATCAGCACTGCAGAAGACCTGCTGAGGACTTTTGGTGGCGTGCGATGCTAAGTCATTTTATATGTCATAGGTAAACTAGCCACAATTATAACCTAAAGCCTACTGTCAAGTCTACTGACAAGACATCTACCTGGCCCCTTTGATTTCCTACGCTAAGTTATTTTGTTTATTTGTGCGTTATTGTTTTTTTTTTTTATAAAGTGTGTGCTGATGAAGGCTCCATAGCCGCAACGTTCACGTTTTGTTTGTGTTCGTTTTATTTTGAAGCTTGCTGATACACTTTTCGTTCATTTTTTATATCTTTTCTTGAAATAATCTAGGGGAAATATAGGCTATTTCTGAAATATATACTTTTATGGGGGCGTACAATCTGGACTCAGATAATATTCGAGCAGTTTCGATTGTATAATGGTGATGATAGTAGTTTTGGGGCGGTGATGGTGGCGATGGTAACGATGAGGAAGAAGGGGGATGTAACCATACTGGTGATGATAATGGTGATGATGATGATAAAGAAGAGGAGGGTACAACGGTACTGGTGATGATATTGGTAAGGATATTGACACAGAAGAGGAGGGTATAATGATACTGGTGACGATAATGATACTGGTGACGATAATGATACTGGTGACGATAATGATACTGGTGACGATAATGATACTGGTGACGATAATGATACTGGTGACGATAATGATACTGGTGACGATAATAATACTGGTGACGATAATGATACTGGTGACGATAATGATACTGGTGACGATAAGGATACTGGTGACGATAAGGATACTGGTGACGATAATGATACTGGTGACGATAATGATACTGGTGACGATAATAATACTGGTGACGATAATGATACTGGTGACGATAATGATACTGGTGACGATAATGATACTGGTGACGATAATGATACAAAATATAAGGGTATAACTATGCAGTTGATGGTAATGAAAATGAATGAAGATGCTAAAGAATATAGGGATGGTAAAACAGTGCTGGTGATGATAATGTCTAACGATCTTACTAAAACTGATTGCTGTGGTTGTAGTAACGACGTTAAATGATGATTGTAACCACATAACAACCGGTTAACCTCCCTGAGCACGCCGAAAACTGTCTCCCAACGACTAACTGATCGAAGAAGCCACACGCATTATTGGATTGCCTAGAACCACCATGCAGAGACGGCCCTCGTCAGTTTATAACCCGGTACCAGCAACGCGCGACGATGGAACATATTCGATCTCCAAGTGGAGATAATGAGATAGGCTGAAACATCGATGTGCTCGGAGGCTGCTGTAGGCTGGTGGAGCCAACGATGATTAGGCAGAAACTGCTAGAGGCAGAAATAGAAATACTGGGTGATTCTAGGATGTATAAACAGCGTTGGGTATCATGAAATGGCGCGGTCTTCTTTAATTAAACGTGTGGGGGTTTGTCTGTCCTCCATTGTCCGTTCTGTTCGGCCCACAATTGTAGCTGATGTTTTGGTGAGGAAGAAGCAAAGGTCAGTTAGAGAAGAGCTGTGTGGCTTGTTTGATATTTTTAGAGAGCAGGGCTTCGACTTTCCGCTCAGATCAGATGTAAGTAAAGTACAGGACCCTGTTCCACGCCTCCAGGCCTATAGGGCATATAGGGCTAGGCCCAAATTTTATGGACCAATCGGCATTCAGTGCCTGAGTGGTCAGCAACACGCCGACCGCCTTTACTTCACATCACTTTACTTGGTATCCCTTTAAGACTGGATCGACTTGGCAGTCAATGTCATTTATTAACTAGTCCAGCTCCGTCAGATCCTAAACCCGCAACCTTCGGACCTGCAGGCAAGCCTTTAGCCGCTACACCACAGCGCCCCTCAGATCAGATGTGATTAGTTTAATAACACCGCATGTTTTTCGATTAAAGTTAAGCAAGAGGAAGCATTTATTGTCGTGTTCCCGAATACAGTAACTTTATGTCAGTCAATCAGACTCTAATATTGTGGGATCTATACGGAGATTTTTTGTGTCTTTACTTTGGGAAACAGACAGTTGAAAATTTAAACGCCAGATGGCACTTTGAGTGGTTGGCTTTTTTGGCTTTTATGAAATATTTGCAACCAGATATCGGCTTCGATTCGACAAACGGATTTCAGTACAAGTAAGGGTTTCAAAATGGCGAAAAGCAGCAGTGTTATTTTTCGATGGCTGTAATTTCTCTCAGATTGTTCTGCCCACCTATCGTAGACTGCAATTTTGTGAGCATTTCTAACTAAAGTAAAGTCGGGTTCTTAATTTATAACGTACCTCAAACACGAAATCCCCGTGGGAAATCCACAGTGGACCTGACAGTCCATTATTTCAAGGGGTGGAAGTGTGCTGTTGTGTGGTGCTTTTTTGAGTGTTCATCTAGTGTCTTCTAATGCTAACCCTAACCCTAACCCTAAGCCTAACCCTAAACTTGGCTGTAGATAAATCGCGAGAAACTACAACCTGAAAACCCTAGAATATATTGGGAATGTCTTCCGTGACGTTGTCGTGACGTCAGGGGTAAGTTATAAATTAAGTACCTAAAGTCAGAAGATGTGAAACAGCGTCATAGCGTACGGTTATAAACCATAAGTACTCTGCCACCAGTACAGACAGCTGACAAGAAACGGTCCGCCTGTGTCGCCGTCCGCACGTAACTCCGAAGCTACCACGACGTTTCTCCATTATCCCAAAGGGTCACTCTGGTACCCGTTACCTATAGGCTGGGTGAACCCCGAGAACCGTCCGGTTTCGAACACCGGCCGTGGGCTGCAGCGAGTCGCAGCTGGATTTGAAAGCGAGCCTCCTATCGACTGCGCTAACGCGGCATTTCCAACGCAGGACGCCTTGGGTTGTCCGTGGGAGCAGCGTGTATTGTAGTTGTGCCATGTCGAGGCTGGACAGTGACCGATAGAATTGGCAGCCTCGACCACGCTGCCTTGGCAATGTTTTGATGGCGGCAGCACACTATCCGGAAAGGTAGAATCTCGTTGGTGAGGGGTGAAGGGCACTGCAAAAGTCTAGAGAGCAAACTCGATAAAAGCTGTCCCCAGAAACGGATCGTGTTAAAATAAGTTTGTAAAAGTAAAGAACCCTTCGTTTGCTGATTCTGCATCTAGCATATGATGGTAAACCTGTGTTTTTGTAGATGAATCAGTACTGTATGGGTTATGTGCTAAACATCGCTCCGGTCGCCTAGACTTCCGGTGACATTTTCTTGGAATTTGAACCCGACCTTCGTGCCCGCAGGCATGCGTCTGGCCACTGCTGAGTGGAAATTGTCATATCTGCTAAGAAAATCGTCATCTTGTTTCACGAGGACACGGTATAGAAAGAGAGAAGCAAAGAGTAGATATTCAAACAGAGCGCAGAGGAGACAGTCAAAGAAATAGTAGAAATGTGAGCAGGCAGCACAAAAGGGAAAGGGGCAGAAAGAAAGATAGAAAGAAACACAGAATTGAAATGTACACAAACAACATAGAGGAAAGAAAGAAAGAAAGAAAGAAAGGAAGACAGACAGACAGACAGACAGAGAGACAGACAGACAGACAGACAGACAGACAGACAGACAGACAGGCAGGCAGACAGACAGGCAGGCAGGCAGGCAGACAGACAGACAGACAGACAGACAGACAGACAGACAGACAGACAGACAGACAGACAGACAGACAGACAGACAGACAGACAGACAGACAGACAGACAGACAGACAGACAGGCAGGCAGACAGACAGACAGACAGACAGGCAGGCAGGCAGGCAGGCAGGCAGGCAGGCAGGCAGACAGACAGACAGACAGACAGACAGACAGACAGACAGACAGACAGACAGACAGACAGACAGGCAGGCAGACAGACAGACAGACAGAAACCAGTCTCTAGACCACAGTAGACACGGAACTGCGAAGATGGAATCAACGCACGCCACATCAGCAAAAATTAGGTTCTGGTGTCAAGGGAAGCGTGGGGGTGGAAGATGAAAGGATAAGAGATTGGGAGATGGTAAGAATGACGAGTTAGGGAGGCCAATCAGGAAGTAGTGGGAGTTTCTGGAATTAGGACACGAGGAAGAGGCGGATAACAGAGATAGAACTAGTAAACTACAGGGACTGGGATGAAGGACGGGACATACTTGAAGACAGTTTAATATTTGTCACGTTTGATTGTC